CTATATGAATTCCTTGCAAATAAATGCAAACTAAGGAGCAAGGAATATCTCCCCCAACCTTGCTTGAAAAATTAGATAATTAAATAAGAGGTTCAGTATTCAGCTAACCAAATATCTGGCAGACCCACAGAAAGTAACTCAAGACAGCTTGGGAGTCCTTTTGAAACAGACTAAATTTCCACACCATCATCCTGCTTTCTTTTTTTCATTTGTTCATATTTAGAACGTGTTTAGCTGGCCTTATCTTCGTGGGCCTATCATTCTGAGTAATTTCTTATCTAAATCTGTCTCTTTCCTTTCTCTATTCTCAGGCATTTTAGTAACTTTCTTGTTTTTTCTTTTCCTTTTCCCCAGCTCAAAAATAACAATAAAACTCATCAGTTCAAATATTAACATTTCCATCTAGAAAAGCCATAAGAAAGGGAAATACAAGCCAATGAGAAAGAGAAAACCTATGGGAAGGGGACATAGAGAGGTTTCAAGAAGAGAGGGGGAAGAAAAGCCAGATTGTAGAGCTTACATAGGCACAGCAGTGGCCATATACGTGCATCCACTGAGGATTACACATCGACCTATTTGGACTTCTATAAGAAATTTAGCCTATTCTTTGTAAGAAATGACGAAATCCAGCCATTTGTGACAACATGGATGGACCTTGAGGGTACTATGCTGAGTGAAATAAGTCAGAGGGAGAAAGTCAAATACCATATGATCTCACTCATAAGTAGAAGATAAAAACGACAAAAACACACACACACACACATAGCATTGGAGATTGGACTGGTGGATACCATTGGGGAAGGGGGGAGGGGGGAGGGCAAAAGGGGTGATTAGGGTCACATGTGACAGGATGCACTATAATTAGTGTTCGGATGGTGAACATGATGTAATGTATCCAGAATTTGAAATATGATGTACATCCGAAAAAAATAAAAATTTATTTTTCTCCTTTTATCCCATTGTCCTACTTTTGGGAAGATTTGCTCCAAGGTTTTTACTGAGTTTTTCATTTATACAACCAGATCTTTAATCTCATAGTGCTTTTCTTTTTTGTTTTTGGAATATTCCCTCTTGTATCACCCTATTCTGGTTTCAGATATACAAAATGTTTTATCTTGTTGAAAATATTACTGATGTCTTTAGAAGTTTTTCCTTTTTTCTGTATATTTTCTGTTCCTTCCAAAAATTTTTTTTCTGTGTGTTTGGTTTGGCCAATGTTCTCATAGTAGAATCTTTCCTAATGTAAGTGCACTTAAATTAAATTCTCGATGTAAGAGTGCTTAAATTAGCTTTCCTATTTAAGAGTAGGGCACTAAAAAAGCTGATGGGTAGTGAGGCTTGTCAGCTGTGGTCTTCACTGTAAGATTCTCTGGTTGAACTGATTCCCAGGAGAATTCTTAATGTCACTAACTTTAGGTCTTTTCTCCAGGGTCAATCTACTTTGAAAACAGACTTTTTCAGTCTTACCTTTATTCCTACTTTCTGAAAACCCAATATCACTACTGTCTTGGGGAGTTCTGTGCTGTAAATTTGGTGCTTCTCAGCTTCTCTCACTGCTGGCCTTAGCTTTCTTGGGTCTCCTAAGTCATCTGATTTCCAGCTTCCAAAATACTGTTGCTGTTATTTTCTATTTTGTTTTTGTCCTTTTGCCCAATGTCTCTTTAAAAAAAAAAATCACTTTACTGTCATTTTAGTTGAGTGTGGAAAAGGAACAGACCTTAATGGTTATATTTAATCTGCCATCCTTAACTAGAAATCTCGCTTCCAGACATGATTTTAAAATGTTTGAAATGCTTAGAAGAATGTAATTTACTACATTTGTAGATTTGATTTATTAGTTTTATAGGAGTTAAGTGCTTAGAAAGCATTGGCTTATTACATTTTAAATCTGCCCCATTAGGCGTTTATAGTGTTTGTTAAAAATCACATAAAAATCATGATTTGTTAAAAATCATTTGTAAGTGTACTTCGAAATGTTTAAAGAAGTTTATTTAACTACGATTGTAAATGAGAGTAAATTTCAGGGGAACTTAATCTGTTACATTTATGAACTATGGAATCAAGTAACTATATTTTTACACAAAAATACTTATAAAATGTGCTTAAATCTCAAGGGAAAAACTGTGCTTTCTAGCTAATATTGTTTATAAAAGTTATATATTAAACAAAAATAACTTTAAATGTTCTTTTTCACAAAGTCAATCCCTCCTCCAAGTTGAAACCTAACTGATGAACTTGGAGGACATTATGCTAAGTGAAAAAAGGCAGATACAGAAGAATAAATACTACATGGTCTCACTTACATGAGGAATTTAAAATAGTCAAACTCATAGAAGCAAAGAGTAGAACTGTGGTTACTAGGGGCTGTGGGGAGGTATTAGTCAAAGGGCACAAAATTTCAGTTATGCCAGATGAATAAATCCTGGAGATTTATTGGTCAACATAATGCCTATAGTTAACAATAGTGCAGTGCATACTAAAAAAATTTTCTAAGAGGGTAAATCTTATTTTAAATGTCCTTATCATAAAAAACACATAAGTAAAGAGGGTGGGAGAAAACTTTTGGAGGTGACGGATATTTATGGCATAGATTGCAGTGATGGTTTCACAGCTATATAATTATTGCCAAACTCATCAAGCTGTACACATTAAATATGTACAGCTTTTGTATGTCAATCATACCTCAATAAGGTACTTAAAAAAAACTAATTGATGAGAATAAATAAAAAAATAGCATAACTACATCATGTCATTGAAGTGTAGAAGCCTTGGAAATGGAACTTTGTTTCGATTTTGGCTGACGACCACAGGTACCAAATACCTCTAGATTCTAAAAGTGATGCTAAGAAACTATAACACTGGTTTGTCAGTATTAGCCCATCACATACCTAAAGGGTATCAAAGGGTTGATATGGAGGGTGCTGAGAGAGAATTTCTTTGGAGAAAGTGGTCAGTATATCGTGCTCCCCCAACCCCTGCCCCAATATGGTGTGGGGAGCTGGCTAGGGAAAGCTTCCTTCACATGTCAAGCAAGTGAGAGTCTTCAAGGGGACGAGTAGAGAACCTGGCAGTAACCAGCTGGCCAGAGAAAGAGAAGGAGGCCGTGTAAATATTGAACTTCACTTCTACCAATGGCAGAGCAAAGTGGTCTATTTTCTGGAAACCAGATGCCATAGTAGGTAACTACCAAGATGCCATGGTAGCTAATTCCCTGGAATTGTTTGAAAAGGGTTCTCATGCAAGAGGGACACCCAGCTAATGAAAGGAAATCCCAGAAGTCATCTGAGGGGCTGGTGGTTTGGAGTAACTGTATATGGTTAGACATCCTCTAGCTTAATTCTGTAGACTTCCATAGAAGTACATCCATTATCTGAAATGACTATTGTAACAAACTAAGGCAAATAGCTGGTTGGCTCTGTTGTTACTGTCCACCAGAAAATGGTGCTCCCTTGTTATTTCATTGGCAAAAGACTGCTAGACTAGAAAGAAAAAAAGTACTATTATAGCTATGGCTGAACATTACCTATCATCTCCAACTATTACTAAAAAGGCCTCTAAAAAAGTCAAAAATCTCTATTTTTCTCTCTTTAATCCCAATTTTCTCTAAGAAATCTCCTATTTGTTTCATGTCTACTTTGTGACTAAGTCCATAGACTTCTCTAGAGTCTCGCTGTATTGTGGTATTTTCCCTCTAATTTTGTTATTATTAAGCTTTACTCATAAATTACTTAATAAGAAATTTTGTTTTTTAAGATTAGCAAAGGCTAAGTTGAAATCCCATAAAAGACTCTTTATTTTTATTTAAAAATAAAAGTATTGGGGCTGGCCCCGTGGCCGAGTGGTTAAGTTCGCGCGCTGTGCTGCAGGCAACCCAGTGTTTCGTTGGTTTGAATGCTGGGCGTGGACATGGCACTGCTCATCAAACCACATGCCACATGCCACATGCCACAACTAGAAGGAAACACAACGAAGAATACACAACTATGTAGCGGGGGGCTTTGCATCCCACATGCCACAACTAGAAGGACCCACAACGAAGAATATACAACTATGTACCGGGGGGCTTTGGGGAGAAAAAGGAAAAAAAATAAAATCTTTAAAAAAATAAAAGTATTCTCCATTGTTGAATACTTAGCACTCAGAAGAAATTATAGTAAGTTCCACAATGGCAGGGGCATTTCTATTTTATTCCTTATGCTAGATTACATAACACAAAATAAATATGGGAAAGAAAATTTCATTGTCCCCAGGTTTGCTATTTTTAGCTGTCACAGACAGCAAGTGCCTTGTTTTTGGCTTATTATTAACTTTCATTCTGAGACTTCCACATAATCTTGTCTTATCTAAGGTCTTTGTTATTTTTATTTCTCTCCAAGCTATCATGAGTTTTGACCAATATTTGTTTTGTTATACTTTAAAAACATCCTATCTGTCTTGCTGTCTTTTTCTATCAATTAGTTTAATAAATTATTTGACAGCATTAGAAAATTTATCAGTCACTTTCTGGAAAACGTTAAATTTTCTGATTTTCTTTTCATACTAGCAACTCTTTTTACAAGCTAAATATTGTTATAGTGAGTAAATGTCACAATAAATATATTTTAATTTCATTTTGTTCACCTGTTCTCATGTTTAGAGTGAAAAAAGATATTTGCTCCAAGAATTTAAGAAATATAAACAAGAAAAATCAAACATTAATAGAAATAAAATAAATGTTTTAAAGAATTTTTTTTTAAAGCTCATACTGCAGAATCAAAATATTACAGAGAGCTAACAAAAGTAGTGCTCTTTTCTTGAAGTCAAAGGTTGGCAATTTCTGGTACTTATTCCACAGGAGGACCACTATACCAATACCCCAAACCACTGATATTTGCATAAGATTCTACTATTTGGTTAATGTCCATGCTTTAGTAGCAGGACTCTGCTTTCTCTAAACTAATGATTGACATTTCAAGCAAATGGGAAATAGAAAAACAGAAGGCAGGATTTCAGAAACTTACATCTCAGCTTCATGGATATTGGGCACATTTCCTTGGAATTCAGCCTTCTGCAGCAGTGGGTTGGTGATCTGTCTTTCAAACATTCTTGCTATTTCACTGGATTTATTTCCATCCTGAATTCTAAATCTCTAAGTACAGAGTGCCTTTGAATAGCACCATTTTTTTCTCCATTTTTAGCAGACTATTGAAGTGAGAAGTCTACACCTTCCCACTTGTCTCTAACTACTTTTAAGAAGGTTTTAGAGCTGGGTAAGACAGTGGTAGTCAAAAGAATGAAGAAACAAATATGCGTTTTAGGTTCAAAAGAACAAGTTATTCATTTACTCAGGGAATGTTCTGGGAAATATTTAGCTTCTGAAATTAAATGCATTTAGAAGCTGGAGAACATTTAAATGGGTCAGCCCCATAACGTTCCTCACCAAGTATTAGCTTCAGTAATATTACATTTTGTGAAATAAAAAAAATAGATTTCATCATCAAAAAAGTGAAAAAGATATAATGTTTTACAGACAGTAACAAGTGTTGGCGAGGATGTAGAGAAATTAGAATCCGAGTGCACCACAGGTAGGACTGTAAAATGGTGCAACCACTATGGAAAAGTTTGGAGGTTTCTCAAAAAATTAAAAATAGAACAACTATAGGATCCAGTAATGCTACGTCTGGATATATATCCAAAGGAGCTGAAAGCCAGGTCTCAAAGAGATATTTATACACCCATGTTCATAACAGCACTATTCACTATTCAGCAGCCAAGAGTTGGAAGCAACCTAAATGTCCATCAATGGATGAATGGATAAACAAAACGTGGTGTGTGTATATATATATGTGTGTGTGTGTGTGTTTATACATATATATATATACATATATACACATATATATGTAGAATGTTATACAGCCTTAAAAGGAGGGAAATCTTGTCACATGATACTATATAGGTGAACCTTTAGAATTTTATGTTAAGTGAAATAAGCCTGTCACAAAAAGACAAATACTATATGATTCCAGTCATATGAGGTATCTAAAATAGTCAAATTCATAGAAAAAGAAAGTAGAATGGTGGTTACCAAGGGTTAGGTGTAAGAGGAAAAGGGAAAATATAAGTTTTATGGGGATAGAATTTCAGATATGCAAGAAGAAAAAGTTCTGGATATCTGTTTCACAACAATGTGAATATATTTAACAATATTGAATCATACAGCCAGCCCTGGTGGTCTCATGGTTAAGATTTGGCACTCTTACCACGGCAGCCCAGGTTTGTTTCCCAGTCAGGGAACCACACCACCTGTCTGTCAGTTGTCACAGTGTGGCAGCTGCATGTTGCTGTGATGCTGAAAGCTATGCTATGGGTATTGCAAACACCAGCAGGGTCACCCATGGTGGACAGGTTTCAGCAGAGCTTCCAGACTAAGACAGACTAGGAAGAAGGACCTGACCACCCACTTCTGAAAACATTGGCCATGAAAACCCTAGGAACAGCAGTGGAGCATTGTCTGATATAGCACAATCTCTATTAGGCAGGATTCCGCTCTGCTGGACACAGGGTCACGAGGAGTCAGAATTGACTCTGCGGCACTAACAACAAAACAACAACTGAACTACACACTTGAAAATGAAATGTTTAAGATGGTAAAAAAAAAAAAAACAAGATACAATGTTTTGAAGGATTCTTATTTATTCTCTGCCTGTCATTCTGAGCATTTAAAGTCACAGTTGCCAGTCAATCATACCCAGGAGGAAAATGCTGGTCATCATTATAAGCTTTCCAACAGAAATCATGAATAATGATTTTATGCAGCTGGCTGGAAGTGTGTGGTCAATGAGAATGCACACGCTGTTGCTGTGAGCCTAGGATGATAACACCAGCACCTGGGCTGCTGCCATGAGACAAGGGAAACTTTTGGGAGTTTTAAACAACCATTACTACCCCAAGCTTCCTTTAATTGAAGAAATAAACATCTCATAAAAGGCTAAATTATATAAAATCAAGAACATATAGCACTGTGATTATGAATATGGGCTCAGAAATCAGTCTATCTGAGTTTGAATCCTGACTCCCCTACTTAGAGGCTGTGTGACTGGACAAATTACTTAAACCTCACTAAGCTTTAAGCTTTCTATCTCTCATCTGTATAGTGAAAAACTCGTAATACTTTGTGGGATTCTCATGAGCAGTACATCAGATGAAGTATGTCAATACTTACTGCAGTGCCTGGCATGTAATAAACACTGAAATCTTGGCTATCCTTAAAACTTTTTTTTTTTGGAAGATATATTTGAAGCTAGAGATTTTTCTTCTCAATATTTTGAGTGGAAAAATAAATCAAACTGTTTTAGTAAGTCTCTAAAATCAGGTTTTATAATTATTTTGATTTTGTAGATTACTTGGTTCCTTCAAATATTAAGGTATTAAATATTTAAATATTAACAGTATTCATTTTTACCATTGTTACCTTCAAACTCTGTGACATCTCGTGAAGTAGCAAGAGAGTTTTTTGGCATCACCTTGAAGTAATGGATAAAATATTAAATTTGGGGTAACAATATGAGGTGTAGGTATGCTGCTGACTACTACGTAGTCAACAATATAACTATGTTACATCAGATACATATGTAAAGTTTACATCTTTGGGTCAGCCTCCTCATATGGAAAATTAATTTCTTTCAAACTCTTGAAAGTGAATTAAATGTGATCAATTGTAATCCTGCCTACAAAAAAACCTGTAAACTCTAACACTATTCAAACGTAAGTAATAAGTTCTTTAGAGTTATTTGCTAATTAAAATGTATGGTTAGACTAAGAATCGACTATATATATATAAGATGTATATTATCAGTAACTTCATTGAAGAGTCACTGTCTAGGGCCAAAAAGTGTGAGCCAATTACACGTAGGTTCGCTTTCATGGGTGAAAATTTTATATTTGTCTCATTCGTGGACCCAAAATGCCAACTCAGCCAGACTGTTAATTGCTTAGCCCAGCAATTCAGCTTTGGAACAGGCTGTTCTAAGATTTCCATTCTGGTCACTGCTTCTTCGAGATTCCTACAGTCTTTGTGCCTTTCAAACACAGAATGAAATAAGAGTCAAAGTGATTTAATTAGCAGTGATTTTTCTCCCTTTTTCATCTATGGAAACAGACACCACATAGAGATGGAGAGTTCAATAGTTGTGCAAGGGAAGCTATGTCTACTTAATAATCCTCCCACAATATTCATAAGTTGGGAAAATAGTCATTTAGACATGATATTCAATTTTAGAGGTCAACAAAGTCATCAAGTAAAATGATCGGAAGGATAATAAAAGCAATGGCTAACATTTGAGTGCTTTTTCTGAGCTGGAGAGTTTCAAGCAATTTACACAGATTATTTAACTTAATCTTCACAATAATTTTGAGGCAGATACATTCTATTCATGTTATCCTTAAGAAAACTGAAGTACAGGCAGGTAAAAAAAACTTGCCTAAGGTCACATAATTAGTAAATGGTTGAACCAAGCTTTGAGCTCAGTCCATCTGACTCCAAGCCAGTGAACTCAGCCACAAGGCTTCATGAGATCCCTCCCTGAATTCTCAGAGATAACCAGAGATGAAAAAATAGTCAGCTACTTCTCCCACTTTGGTCTAGGCTTTTCTGCTCATTTTATTTAGTTAGAGGCTGGCGGTCAGTGAGGCTAGGGCTAACCCTGGCCTTAGGTAAGATGAAAGGACATATAAGAGAACCAGAAGTTTGAGGAGTTCCAAGTGTCAAGGAACAGCAATTACAGGATGTCAGATAGGAAGGGAGGAGTTCTACATGGTTACTGTATAACCAACTAGAGCTATAAATAGGGAGGTACAGCAAAAGGCAAGCAGTAAGCCAGAAGTGTGGTCTGGGGTAAGCCAGGAACCCAGAGTCAGCTCAAAAATTCTGGAATCTAAATAGTCATGGCTAGAGACAAGCAAAGGAAGAGGGAGTCATGAATTTCAGGAGCTGTGAGAGGTCAATCCAAGTCAGCAATAAAGGAGGTAGCATCATCTCAGGAGGGTTTGGTATATTTCCTTGCTATGTAAGAAAAAGGTTGAGAAGGGTGAGAAGATTATCTAGGTGGTAACTAAGGGCAAATGTGCCACCATAGTCCTGGTTGAGTTCAGATGATGGCAGAAACAGGGTAGAAAAAAATGGGAAGATGGGACAACTTTGTTGATAAGAACAATGCAAACACCATGTAAATACCATTGAGGTGATGAATATGTAACCAGGTGTGCTAAGTATTCTGCCAACTAATGAATTTAGTACTCAGAGTCCAGAACTCAGATGCAAGTGGGACAATGAAATTAACCTACTTCATAAATTAACAATTGATCTATTTTACAACCATATTAAATTTCTAAGTTTTTTTCCATCCTATCTTCCTGTCACATTTTTACAATTACATATATATATATACACATATATATGCACATATATACAATATGTATATACTTGTATATTGTATTTGCATATATGTAATTATATATATTAACACACCCACAGTAGTCCCCCTCTATCCATGGGGTATACATTCCAAGACCAAGACCCCCAGTGGATGCCTGAAACTTAGGATAGTAGCAAACCCTGTATACACTGTATCAGTATACGTACATATTTACGATAAAGTTTAATTTATAAATTAGGTACAGTAAGAGATTAACAATAACTAATAATAAAATAGGATATAGAGTCAAAATTATAACAAAGTTAACAAAAGGTACCGTAGATCTTAGTGACCTCAGTATATGATATTTTTTCTTTCCTTATTGAGAACTTTCACCTTTTCACTTAAAGGAAGCACTTTGTGGCTTCTCTTTGGCATATCCAAATTGTCAGCATCGTTACTCTTGTGCTTTGGGGCCATTATTAAGTAAAATAAGGGTTACTTGCACACAAGCACTGTGATACCATAGGTATTGCAACAGTTAATCTGATAACCAAGAAGGCTGTCAAGTGACTGATGGCTGGTTGTGTATACAGCTTCCGATATTCTGGACAAAGAGATGATTCACCTCCTGACTCGGATGAAGCAGGATGGTGTGAGATTTTGTCA